TAGAGACCAGGTCCTCTCCTTCTATTTGTTATAGGCATGAGAAAGTTTCTAGCAGTTTAATGCCACTAGACTCATCTATAGTGTCATGTCAGAAGAATGATTGATCGGCTAGAGTTCTATGTGTCTCTCCTAATGAGAAAGCTTATCTGCCTGTTCTGTTTTGCTATTTTTAGACTTTGTCCCAAATCCTACCTCTGGTTTTCTAATCCAGAGGACAGAACTTGTGTTGATACCATTGCATCTTTTTACTGCCCCCAGGTTTTGTTTCATCTTTCTTGGTCACACCGTCTCCTCTGGCCCGGTGATGCTTTCTTTAGTTTCTTCAGTGACATTCCTTTTGACACCATGACTTATCCCTGTCTCAGAGACTTTGCCTGATTTGGATACTGCTCTGGATTCATGGATCCATTCACCTGGCTCTTTACAGGTCTCAGTCTTATGGGAATTGGTTTTCTGTTTTAGGGAAAAGAATCTATAATAAGCTTTCATATGTTAATGTAGAGATCTAAATTTCAGATTTTGGAGAAACCCAAGAAAATAAACTTCTATTTCTCATCCAGAGTTATCCTTTACTTCCTGATTATTTTAGGGTGGGACTGATACTCTGAACATGTAGTTCCTTTAGGAGAGATGTGCTTTAGTTTCTTCCTGAGGTACAGGTATAACTTGGTACCAGTTCTCTTTACGTGTCGTCACTCATGTACAGTACATCAAATGGACAAAATGAGATGTAATTGTCTGTCTCAGGGCTGTCCCTTTGTCATCTTATGTCAGCACTGTGGACACAAAGGAGAACTCTGACATCTTCTCTCAGGCTTGCTGGGATTGTCTTCCTTCTGGAAGCTTCCTTGAGTATGATCACTTTTTTCTCTGTGGTATTGGGGATTGAACCCAGGGCTCTCGCAGGCCAGGCAAGGATTCTACTGAGTGGCATCCAGAGTGCTTTCTATTATTTTTAATTTTGAGACTGAGTCTTGCTAAGTTACCAAGGCTGGCTTTGAACTCACTCTGTAACACACACAGGTTTGAATTGGTGATCCTCTTGTCTTAGCCTCCGAGTACCTAGGATCACAGGGCAGAGCCACTAGACCCCTCTATGATTCTGTTGTAATCACATTCCTTCCTTTGAGTTATAGTGTGGTTAGAGCCTGACTCATTCAGGATGACTACCCAGAATCTGTTCCTCAGCCAGCTCCTTGGTCACTCAGCCTTCTCATATTAATCCTTTCTCTCTTGCTCTGTAGGCATTAGACTATCTTTTCCTTGTCAATGGCATCCCACCCTTCTTCTCTTGTCATCTCATATCTTTCAAACTGTTTTAGATTATAAAACCTATGACCTTGGTAGCTATCTGCCAATCCTCTCCCACTCCAACTGGCTCCACCCTATGGACACTGGGGCTTTGGGAACAGGAGGCTAAAGAAGCCTTGACCGGCTTTCCACCCGGTCTGATTGCAGGTAATGAACATGCAGTGCACAGGGAACCTGGACCTGATCCCCTTGAGGGGACGGCGCCGCAGGAGGTCAGGAGACCTCCCCAGGCTTTCCCCAGCCATCGGCCTACAGCCCCGGGCTGTGTCCACCACTCACCTGGCTTCCTGCACACAGGTGTCTCTCTCTTCCTGCCTTGCCTTCCTTTTCTGCCTATGTCTGCTTTTCGGGATCTAGGGAAACTGATTCATTGTCTAGGTGGACAATGTATGTTTGGGGGTTGTGTGATTGGCCCTCATGGATATTTAAAAAAAATAAAAGAACAAAACAAACAAACACCCAGTTTCATGTATCCAGGAATAAATTGGTTGGAGGGGAGGGCTTCTTGGCTTAAATGAGAAGCTGAGAGGACAGGCCATACTTGATTTGTGGCTGAGTCACTATGGTTGCCTTTCTGAGTCCTAGGAAGGAACAGGTAAGATTGGAGAACCTAATCTTTTGAGGATAATGAATACTTGGGTCATGGTTTCTCAGATTTGGGGCGGGGGGAGCTTTGAGGACCAGTCGTGCAGTAGACGTGCCTTCTAACATAGATGGACTCCCTAGATGGTTCCGCTCTGCACTGGGCACTCTCCTCCTATCTTATTCCTCTTCCACGATAAAAATCCTTTGGCTCATCTAATCTTCTTGATACTGCTTGGCTTTGTAGGGGCAGGAATTCAGAGCCTGGGTTCTATGCTTTGAGATGACACAGTGATTGATTAATCTAGTGTCCTTTTCCTCCAGGTGCTGTCTGAAACTTCTTCTTCAAGACCTGGTGGGTACCGGCTGTTTTCATCTTCACGGCCACCAACAGAGATGAAGCAGAGCGGCCTGGGTAGGTCTTCCAGCATCTCTCACTGTTGTTGGAAAAGTTTGTCTATTCTGAGTTTTATTGTGGAAAATCTTTATTACAGAACTGGGACCACCCCATCCAGTCAGGGCACTGTCAGATGTGGGAAGGGAGAGTGACGTGGAGGGAGCCTTAGTTAGATGTGAACATGCATCCCAGATGACAGTTTTTATCCCACAAAAGTGTTTGCCTTTTGATTTTCTCCCCTAACCCCCATTTCCCCTGTGAGGGGTATTTTCTGGCTCTCCTTTTCACTCCTTATCTGTCCCTCCAGTGTAGCCCAGACTTTAAGGGACCATGGAGGCTCTGGCCCTTCAGAGTTATCAATGACAGAGGTATAACTAGAGGTATTGTGACCCACAGTTGTCATATGTATATGAGATCCTGTGCCATGTCTTCCTCTGAAATCTGGTTTCCACTCCCTGCTTTTCTAATCCTGTAACTTTTTCCTTTCCTTCCGGAAGCTTGAGGGACACAAATCTGAGATGGGTGTAGAGGCAGAGGCTTCTCTCAAGACTTTGAGGGAATATCTTGATTTTTTTGAACCGTGGAAAGGGGTGGAGAGCATCATTCAACCTTTTCTAAGGACACAGACTTGAGGGAGCACCAGACCTCGGGGTATGGTATTCTTTGGGAGGGGTAATCCTTGAGGCAGACTACCTCTGAACTAACTGGAGGTCAGACATGACCGTGTGGGTCTGAACTGGCTCTCCTGGTTCATTTTTTAAAAAATCTTGTCCTATTCTTTCTATTTAAATCCTCTTATTTTTCTGTTACTTTTGCTCTTGCTGCTTGATTTTTTTTGGTCCCAAAATGGTTAACATTTGAACTAGAGGAGAAATGTTTTGATAACTTTCCTAGATAATTTTATATGGGTTGATTGCCTTCTAGAATCCTAAAATAAGTTTGTTGGTTTGGGGCATAAGGGTTAAATGACAACTGTGTTGGTCCTGTGACATGGAAGCCCTAGTACACATGGCCTTGTTCAAACACCAAGACACAGAAAGACTAGATCTCAGGTTACAGAGTAGATACATTTGCAAGTGGGAGTTATATCAAGAATCAGGCATAGGAGTCAGACATGGTAGTATACACTTCTAATCCTAGCACTCGGAAGGTTTGGAGGCAGAGGCAGGTAGGTTTCTGGGAGTTTCAGGCCTGCCTGGTCTACATAATGAGTTCTAAGCCAGTTATGAATTCTAGGCCAGCCAAGGCTACATAGTGAGACTTTGTCTCAAAGAAATAAAACAAATAAGGAAGAACAAGAGGAGAAAGAGGAAGAAGAGGAGGAGGAAGAAGAGAAGAGAAGGAAAAGGAGGAGGAAGAGGAAGAGGAGGAGGAGGAAAGCATATGGCATAGGAAGCTGGGTATGCAGGACAGTGGCTTGTGCCTATAGGCCAAAGCTAGCTACATGGACAACATGGGGAGATTCCTATCTCAAAAATAAACTGAACAAGGCAGAGCCAGGGATGTACAGACCTTGTGACAGATGGTAGTGGTAAGCCAGAGACTGCCCTCTGAGGTACACCGGGATGATTGTACCACAAAATTACTCAGTAGAGGAAGTAAATGCAGGACAGAGCTTGGTGTGGTCTAGGATAGAGCCAGCTACCTTAAGCTTTCTCTAAAGAAGAGCAGACATCTTGTGCAATGTGTCACTCTCTTCATTCTCAAGCCTGATTTGGCATGAAAGTTGGAAGATGTTGCTGCAGAGAGGTCCCGAATTCCAAGGTAGAAATTATTTCCCACCAAGCTCTCTGATTTTTCTTACAGCCCTGAAATACTGGGACCCTGGTCTTCTTTGTAGGCTCCAGGGAAACTATCCTCTTCTCCAGTCTGAATATGAATATGATCTCTCCTGCCAAGCCCAGGGTCTTGGTTATGATGGATTTGGAAGTAGATTATCAAATCCCAAGAATCTGAATGTCAGCCTTCTTTTCGTTTTTTTTTTTTTTTTTTTGGTTTTTGTTTTTTTAGGGCTTTTTTTTGTTTTTGTTTTTGTTTTTGTTTTTTGTTTTTTTGTTTTGTCTTTTTTGTTGTTTTTTGTTTTTGTTGTTGTTGTTGTTGTTTTGAGACAGGGTCTCTCTACATAGCCCTTGCTGCCCTAGAACTCACTTTGTAGACCAGGCTGGCCTCAAATTCACGGAGATCTGCTTGCCTCTGCCTCCTGAATCCTGGGATTAAAGGTGTGCGCTGCCACACCTGACTCATGAATATTAGTCGTATGACTTCCCTGTCCTCAAAGGCTGAAGAAGAAGGATGGGAAGTCTAGCCTTTCTCTGCATCACAGTGGGGACAGTAACTGACCTGACTCACTCTTTTCAGAGGTTCTTCAAGTTCCATTTATTCCTCAGATTGGCACTTCTTTTTGCTTTCTTTGAACTTACACATGTGAGCAGCTGGTTTTGATCACAGGGCTTGCAGGACAATAAACTTTTCAGAGCAGGAAAAAAAAACATTTTTTGTTGTTTCCTACTTGGAGTCTTAATAGGGTGATTAGCATGTAATTGGCATGCACACCCTACTTTATAAGTAACAGACTTTTCATCTATCTTCTGATTTGTGTCCGTCTTGATTTCAGAATCTATGCTGTTTCTCTGTGAAAAAAAAAAACCAACAAAAAACAAAAAAACAAAACAAAACAAAAACCTCTTTTCTAACCAAACATGGTTAGTCCTTGGAGTAAAGAGATCTAGATTCCTGTCCCCCTTAGCTCCTGTACTGTGACCCTGAGCAAAGGAGACAGAACCTTTTGGATCAGTTTCTTCACCTAGTATATAAAATGAGAAAGTTATACTAGATGGTCTCTGAGTCCGTTTTGGCTTTAAAAGTGCAAGGCTCATACTTGTAAGTGGAGAAAAAAATCCCTAGAGGATGGGAGTGTTGAATGAAGAACTTGTAATTGTATGCCAGCCAAGTACCTAAAACCTTGCCTCTGGTTTCAGGGAGAGCCTTTCCTTTCCAAACCTATAAAGGGCTAGATTTCTAGGTCTCTCAAATCTTCTGTCCAGAGTGAAGGACATCCAATTAAGTTTAGAGAAACATGGGCCAGTGAGGTGGTTCAGCAATAATGAAAGTCATTTGCTGCCAAACTTGATGACCTGAGTTTAATGCCTGGGGCATTCATGGTGGATGGAGAGGACTGAGTACAGCAAGTTGTCCCCTGACCTCCAGTGTGTGCCATGGCATGCATTCTCCCTCCTCCCATACAAAGGTTTTAAAAAAGTTTAGAGAGACTTACCTATTCTTTCATTAGAGAGCCACTTGGAAAGCACAGTCTACCTCAGTAGCTTTGAATACCTAATAAGACTAACCATTTTAATAGTGGCCTTCTGTCTCTGCCATGTAAATATTCTGGAGATTTGCTTCTTGCTTGCCTGGTGTGGCTATGGACAGTAGTGAGCACTCTGCAGTCACTTGGAGTAGCCGCTTTGTGGTGGCACTGAATGGCTGTGTGTCTCACTGTTGTATGGTAAAGTTGGGTGTTCTGAATGCAGCTTTGTGTGGCTACTAATGTGCTCCCGGCATTGCAGGCTCACAGTGCACAGGGCTGTTCAGCACCACAGTGCTGGGTGGCTCCTCCAGTGCTCCGAATCTTCAGGACTACGCCCGCACCCATGGCAAAAAGCTCCCGCCCGCCAGTCTAAAGCACCGAGATGGTATGTGGGTGGTTTTGGGGGGCAACTCTCTCTCTTTTTTTTTTCTTCTCTCTCTCTCTCTTTTTAAACTTATCCCCCAGTAAGCATAGAGCTCCAGAACTCTTCATGCTTAAGTTGGTACTGTCAGTGCCTTATACCAAGCTTTCTTCATGGGTAATAAATGGGAGAAGGAGCCGGGACCCCTCCACTCCTCCATTTGCATTCCCTCTCACCATACAAATACTACTTATTTATGCTTCTCCCTTCATGATCTCCCACACACAGCCTGGCTGCATCAGTATGTACTCTTTCCTGGATTCTGGCCTATAGGGATGAGGACCCAGAGGATGATCCATGGTCAGGAGGAATGCAGTGGAATCTTGGTTAAATTTCAGGGAATCAGGGTTAGGGATGTGGCAGTCGATCAGCTAAGGTGAAAAGGTGACATGGAAGGACACTGGGGGAAGGGAGGGAAGTTTCTACACAGATTTTACTTCCATGTGGCTAGGAGGAGAGCATGGTGGTGAAATTAGGGTTGTTTGGTGGGACCATGTTGTGGTAGAAGTGACACCAACTGCTGAGAGATTACAGCAGAGGAAGTAAGTGAACATTGTTGTCAAGATCTAAGGGACGGGGATGGGACCAGATTACACAGTGAGGTAAAGGACCAAGTACACAGTGGGCAGGTTCCAAAGCCGAGGGTGGGCACAGGGGTGGGTGTAATCCCCGTGATGTCTTTTCTCCCCAGAGCTCTTGTTTGTCCCGGCCGTAAAACGATTTTCTGTGTCGTTTGCAAAGCATCCGACTAACGGTACGTTTGCTTCTGACTCAGCATCATCCCTCCTCCTCATGTCACCTCCAGACACTTCACCCTGAGTTCCGACACTGACTTTGCCTCTCCTTCCACTATATTGACACCCTGCTTTCTCTGAATGAGACCCTCACTAAGTGTCCCTCTTGGGGCATTTCCCTTGTGACAGCCTTAGCCATGGCTGTAAGCTGGATAGGCTGACCTATCCCTGTGGCAACTCAGAGTCTGATTCCCATAGTCACCATCATCATCATTACGTCACTTTTGTCAGCATTAGCACCAAAACATCAGTTATGACTCTCCCTTTCCTATCACATGTGTCAAGACTGTTTACAGACAGACTAGGTTCTCTTTCTTAGATGAGAATAGCATTACCTAGCCTGGGCTCATTTCTTCTCTCCCTGTGATCTCAGTTTGTGTAATTGTGACCTTCCTAGTTTATTCTCCAGCTCCTTTGATGGGGTTGATGACGAGTGTGTTCTTCTTTTGGAGCAACTCTACAGTTACTTATAAGAGCTTTGGCATTGGCTATATAACTAACCATCTCCATATTCCTGTCTCCTACCATTTTGTGTACTTTATGTGGCTCTTGTGTTCCTGACATCTGCTTTATGTTTTACTAACCTAGTGCCTGAGCCTAGAAAACAGGGGCCCAGATTGTTTTGGGATAAAAGAAAAAGAAAAAGGAAGTGAGGTATTAGGTAAGGAGAAAGAGTGTTCCTTGAGGGTTCTTTCTTTCTCCTTTTTGCTTTTTGGATGAGTGGTTGTTGCTGGAGATTGAACCCAGGTATTTGTGTATACTGTCCATATGTTCCGCCAGTGAGCTGGGCCCCAGCCTCTGGATCCCAAAGCCAGATGTACCTATGGCAACTCTATCTCAGAGAAGCTGGAAATGAAGGGTTGAGATGAGAATCCTGGCAAAACTTACAAATGAGTAATATTGTAAGAATATAGAAGAACCAGGTCTGTGGACATTGCATCGTGAAGGGTTATGGTCTCTTTGTGGGGCACAGCCAGAGAACCTAAGAACCCTATTGAGCTTTTGTTTCTATATCCTTAGAGTTTTTTCCCTCTTTGTTGTATCTTGTCCCCAAGTAAATCCAGTTTTGTTAGATATGGTTTTCTTCTGTGTGAGAGTTGAGACACAAACAGAAGATTATTTAGATGTCCTGTACCCATGCCCACCAGCTGCCTTACCAGTGGCAAGTGTTAGATTTTAGCCTGGCCAGGTCATGCCTATATCCTCTAGACACTGCTGAAGTCACTCCCTCGGTTGGTGACCCTAAATTTATTCGGTCCATCTCCACCTCCAGACTCTCTCTTCTGCCTGTGACTGAAGTCTCCATTCACACGTCTGTGCTAACTCATACAGCTTCACATAGCACAGTCATCACAGAGCAGGAGTTCATGACCAACCCCAAGCCTGAGACTTGGACTTAAGAGTTCCTAGAGTACCAGGAGCTTGGGAGTCTGAAGTAAGAGCTAAATCACATACCTCCTAGTTTATTAGGTGTCGTAAGAAAAGATCCAAATTTATAAAACAAATCCTCAAACCTATATCTCCACTTCTCTGAAGCCTTGGTTGGCAGACTCAGCAGCTGAAGAAACAAGAATTAATTTTGCCATAAGAAGGAAAAGAAGAAAAACCTGGACAATTCAGGTATAGTGCAGGAGAGCAACCCAAAGTCTCTGACAGCCTTGCACATGTCCTCAGGGTTCTTCTAGCCGCCTGTTTTTCTTGTATTTGAGCTGGGAGGTTAATGTGCTTGCAAAGCCCAGGGTCTGGGATCTACCTGTTACAATAAAACAATTTGGAGCTGTTGTATTTGGAAAAGAAGATCATCTTGATGGAATTTAGCCCTTAAGACGATATGAGAGCTCTACCCCATGGCCAAGGTCTTGCCTTACCGACTCAGCAACTCTAGAGCTTCCTACAATTGCTTATGGCAGATTGTTCATAACAGTGTGCTAGCCTACCACCCATCATCACAATCTCCTTGCATGATGCCTGGCTTTGCAACAGCAGCTGAAACAAACAAACAAACAAACAAACACCCCTAAAACTGGGCCTGGCTTTGGAAAAGAGACAAGGCAATGCTGTCTCCATACTTTAATAGAAGAGTAGCCCCTAGGACATCATCCATGCCTGTGTTCCAGATGAGCTATATCACATCCTGTGACTACAACCAGCACACAGGTGTGGCACATCACTAAAGTATGTGGTGAACTCATCAAAGCAAAATAATCTCATGGGAAAGAGCCAGTGGCTCACCCTCATCCAGAATGTCAGTGTGCCCAACAGATTTGTCCCACACAGCTGTGTGACCTTGGCACAGTCATGGCTCACTGGACTATTCCAGGAAGGGTTGAGTGCTCTCTTGATATCCAAAAGCCAAGCTCTTTGGAAACTAGACTCGTGGGACCACCAGGTGAGACGGTTCTGACCTGGGCGTTCTGAGCAGTCTTCTTCGCCTGCCTTGACCCCCTCCCTCTTCTGTGCTGACATTCTGCACTCCAGCCCTTGCTCATGGTCACATCAGGTCTTCATTCCATAGATTTCCTCCAAGAGCTTACACTTACACTGCTGTTCCTCTTGTGCGTTTCATCACATGACTTTCCATGCCTTCAACACTTTTGCTGCTGAATCCCAGGCATCCACAGAATTTGCCAAGTGGCTAAAAGTATGAGAGATTCCAAACCAAAGCTCTTCCACACAGCAGCTGAACAAGGAGCAGAAGCTGCTCATCAGTGGGAAAAAAAACATCAAATTATCCACCTTTGGCCCAGTGAGGGATACAGCACTCCACCCCCCATAACCTGAGACTTGATTTGTACAAGACTAAGGTAAAGGACAGTTACTCGTATTTGTATTAGAAAGAACAGAGTCTGATGTTTTTATTTTTTGTTTTGTTTTTTTCCTGCACTGTTTCAAAGGAGTCCTACTCCTGGCTTTCTGCCAGCACAGTGTGCCAGCCACCTGGCACCAGTTCTGTCTGTGGCTGTCTTAGAGTCTGTTGTGGCAGCACTTGGCCTTCTGGAATGTTTTCAGTTTTAGCGTTATCATGCTGCCTAATGTCATTTTGACCTTCTCAGAGTGACTCCAAATCTCTTCATCTCTTTCCCAACCTCATAAATCCATCTGCCTGAGAAGCGGGCCTGAGGGTTTAATCTAAGATGGATCAGAGACGCTGAACTCTAGTCAAGGCTTCTGGCTCCGGAATTGCAAGCTCACCCTTTTCCAGAATGATGTAACTGCTCCATAAGCACTGACTGAACTGTGCTCAAGGAGGAAGGGGGGCTGGGGTTTTAGGGTCTCATTAATGCCTTCTCTGAGTCTCACTGTGTGGTGCCAATACTCTTCTTCTGAGTGAGGGATGGACCGTGGCTCTGACCATCTCTCTTTCCTTAGTGGCTCCCACTCTCAGTGACTCTTGTGTCAGTCAGCGCCCCTCATTGTCTCTCCCTCTTCTCTATCTTTGTGCTTCCTATCGTGGTCCCTCTGTCCCCTGCAGAGCTGCTGGATGACCAGCACCCTGTGGTCCGGCTGCTGCGTACTCTTTCCTCTGACTGCCCAAGGGGCTGGCCAGTCTCCTTGGACGCCACGCTGGCGCACCACCTGCACCAGTGCTCCTACCACCTGCGCCTCTTCCGGAACTGGCTGCGCTCAGGCCAGGATGACCCCGAGTGCCTCTACGGTACCCCTGCCACAGGCTGGCTGCCGCCACTATCCTGCCTGGGACTGATTGCTTTGCTTACTGCATTCCTGGCTGGAGAGCCTATCTAGTCTCTGAGGTTATGTGACTTGCATTAGTTGCTTGATCGGGATTGGGACCAGGCTGCCTGGTAGCTGTAGCATTGGCTGCTCATCTCCCCTCTAGCCTCCTTTCTTACTTCCCTCTAATGTTACCCATTCTACTCAGCATAGGAGTAATCTCTTGCCCTGGAATCTGTTTTGTTTTATTTATTTTTTAATACGTTCTTATCTCTCTAATCTTCTACTACCATCATCTTCAAAACCAAACGTTTTCCTAACCACACTGATGAGCTAGGGACTCTTCTGCCTCCTGCCACTAGACTTATAAGGGAAGCCAAGGCACTGAGCATCAAGTAAACATCCAGACAAGCAAAGTTGGAGGTTAAAAGATGATCAGGTATGGGAAAGTTGAGCCAGGACTTCTACTTATTGGTGAAGAAGAGCTAAGTCTTCCCTAGGTGGTGCTGCCCTCCCTGTTCTTAGTTCCTTTACAGAGAGGCCTTGGAACCATCTGGGGCTGAGAAAGTGCTTAGGACATGTTCTTGATCCTTCAGTGGGAACAGTTTTTTCTATTAATAGTCCCAGGAGTAGGGTTATCCATTGATGTCTACCTTTGACCCTACTGAGACTTACAGACCTGTGTTATATGGTATTTTTGGAGGGGCACGAGTTGCCTCATTTTCTTGGTGGAATAGAGAAAACCTAGCAAGCCCAAGATGTTACAGTAGAGCATAAGGAAAAGGCTTTGATGTGATGGAAATGACCAAGAAAGAACTCCCATCCCCTACCCTGTTCATGCACGTGGTTTTCCTCGGCTGAGCTTCATGTATTGCATGCTCCAGTTTGCATCCAAGTATTCCAGCCCTTCTATCCACACCCTAAATTTGCATGAACCCCTCCTTGGATTCCATGCCCTTCTCCTTAATCTGTTCTTTTTTTTTCCTTCACAATCCCTGAAATCTGCTGTTCTTTCCGAGCTCCGTGACCCACTGCCTCATGTTAGATCTACAGTTTCAACCCTTTGCCTCTTGATCCTTGTTTTATTTCCCCAGAAAGTACAAGAGCAGTGCTGGTGCTCTTGTTAGTTCACAGGATGCTGTAGACGCTCCATAGGTAGGATGAGAGGTGATTTGATCACCTGGAGGCTTTAATGGGTGGACATTTTAGGAAAATTGGAGATGAGATAGACTTCCTGAAGGACTCCAAAGAGTTCCTTCTTCCTGGAAATCTTGGATACCCCATTCTCTAAAAGCCACAGATTCTCCTGATGGCTCTCAGGGACTCTCCATCCTTCCTTGGCCAATTGGAGTGTATCTGGTGGGAATAACATTGACTTTTTTCATCTCTTTTCCAACAGGGTTTGAAGGGTGCTCCATGGTACCTACCATCTACCCGCTGGAAACACTGCATAATGCCCTTTCCTTGCGCCAAGTGAGTGAATTCTTGACTAAAGTCTGCCAGCGCCACACTGATGCCCATGCACAGGCATCTGCAGGTATGGGAAGTACTGTTTGTATCTCTAGCTCTACCTCCATACCTGTAATATGTAGAACATGAGAAAATAATGAATTTAAAGTGGGGGCAGGAGAGTTGGTTCAGCAGTTAAGAGTGCTCACTGCTCTTGCAGAGGACCAGAGCTCTTTTCCCAGCACCCACATTAAGTGATTCAGTCACCTGTCTGTAACTCCAGCTCTAGGGAATCTGACACCCTCTACTGGCCACCATGGGGCACTGAAACACATCTACACATAGAAACACAGATGCACATACACATAAATAAAACAAAATAGAATAAAATTGAAAATAGGGAGTTGGGAATTTAACTCAGTGATAGTGTTTGCCTAGCAAACACAAAGCCCTCTGATCAGTCCTCAGCACAAGGAAAGAGAGGAGAGACAGAGGGAGAGTAAGGATGTTAGTGTGAGACAGAGAGAGAGAGAGAGAGAGAGAGAGAGAGAGAGAGAGAGAGAGAGA